CCGAGAACTGAACCGAACCGGTTGGTTCTTTAAAATTAGAACACAATCCGAACCGAGCATATACTTAACCCAACCCAACCCTCACGGTTCGGGTTGGGTTCTTTGGGTTACCGGGTTTTTTGAACACGCCTATCGAATAAATCTCTGATCTATTTCCCATTTTTGGGACCTATTTGGCATTTCTTAAAATATACGGTCTTTTTTTACTCAAAATTGAAATGTCGGGGTCTAATTGAACACAAAATTCAATTGTGTCTTATCGGTTATTCGTGAATTTTATGGAATGTCGAATAGATTATAAAATTAAAAGTTTACATATTTATTGAATATTTTAAAATCTAAGGACCTAACCATAAAATTTTTTTGACCTATTAAACACTTTTAAAGTTTAACAACTTGTTATATATAACTAAAGAAAGTTCAATGACCAAACTTGTAATTTAATCATAATTATTATTCTTAATAACGCAATTTGACATTTTTCTTCTAGAAAAGGATATGTTGTACGTATCAGTCTACTTTTATCTGATCCGATTGGTTACATCAAATCACGATAAATTAGCTAACATTTATCTAATAAAACAGGACATGTGTCATTTTTGTTAAGAAAATGGTCATGTCAATCATTTGGTTAACAATATCAACGATAAAGACAAAATGTCAACTAGAGCGTAGCTCAGCGGGTAATCATGAGGTTGAGAGTTCTAACAACCTCATGGTTGGAGGTATATATCAATTACCGCTGAATTATGCTAGCTTTGGCAGTTTAATTTAGGTTATTGAAACTTAGTTTAGGGACTAAATTCACACAACCAAAATTTAAGATAAAATTCATAATTTAACGTATGATATTTAATGATGATGAACAGGTGGACATCTTTGGAGGATGGTGATGATTCAGTGCAGCCAACTCTAGTGAGGATGCCTAGAAACAAGTATCCAATTAGAGTGGAGCCACTGTGATAGCTTCTTCTACAATTTGAAGAATAAGCATGAGAGAAGAGGCTTGAAGAAAATGGAATGTCTATATAAAATAAGAATTCACTATTACCCCATCTTTATTTTGTAAATTTCATATGGAGTTGAATGCTTTTAGCTTGTAAAAAAGAGTTTTTGTTTTCTTTTTGTGTTATTATCATATTTTAAAGTTTAAACCAACTAAACTAATATGAGATATAAAATAATTATAGTTCAAAAAAATAAGTAGGGAGTAAGAATTTTTTAACCTACAACTGGTAAAGAGATTACGTCAAAATTGGTTTAATTATGTTCAAGTAGATAGTAATTTGTGTAGAATAAATTAGCACAAAAGGAAATAGACAATCTCCACAAAATAAACTTTTATTGGAAAGAATGAGGATAGACACTATTTGAGAGAAGACTCTATCTCACGCTCCATAACTCACTTTTCTCACTTACTTCACCTTCTCACATTACTCAATCGCCTTCATAGCTGAGGACATCTATCATATTTATAAGAGAAGGATCCCTTCGAACCCAAGCAGATAGATTTTTCTAAATCCTTCTTGAATGTCACATATTCTAGATACTTCTAATTAATCTATCCTTATTCAAAGAAATTCTCTAGAATTCTCCTTTGAGCCTACGGAAAAACTAAAATATTTCTACATCATTTTCTCATTTTCTTTTGATACTTATTTATAATTTTCAAAATAAATCTAGAGAGAGAACTATTCTGTGTAGATACCTTAAGAAACTTCTAGAAATAGTTAGTATTGTATTTTATTTTAACAATTTGAGCTGCATCAAGTTAATATGAGACCTATCTAGCACTTAACTTCGTCTAAGGAGGCAAGTCAAACCATGAGCCATCTTGGTTGAGAAAATGGTAAGTACAGAGCAATAAAGAATATTTAGATGTATTTAGAGAATTTTGAACAACTTTAATTAGTGGTTGAGAGTTTTCAACGGCAGAGGTGGTGGTTGGGGACCTTAAACTACTTAGAGCTATGGTTTCTTCCCCACTTCAAACTATCATTTGAGTTACGAGAAGCACTCACTTCATTTACAATATAAAATTATATTTTGGGATAAACTACCACTTCATTTATGACAAAAACGCGCCTCCATAATTTATGAGAGTTTTTTTTACTCCAAACTTTTTACTGTTCACAACTATCATGGAATGTCATTTTTCTAGTAGTGTAAACTTTCACTCACTCATAAATTTGATAGCTACTCCACATTTTTTTTCTTGGCGATATGATTTGATATAATTTAGGATTTTGATATGATTAGGTTTCCTATCCGGGATTGAAGTTTATTTGATTTAGATATTATTTGTTTAGATGTCTAATTCCTATTATGATTAGATTATCCTAAGATGATAAGTCTGTATGCAAATTAAGGAATTAATATGAAATCATATTTTGTAATTCTCTTGGTTTTCTTTCCTCCCAATAGCCTCCTAAATTTAGTACTGGCTATTATAAAAAATACCGTCAACTTTACTCTTTGCTATAAAAATATCACTATCCTTCTAAACGTTTCAATTGCTTTCATAAATACTCTTTAAGCAAATATTCATTAATATTTTGAATAGAAAGTTGAAGTGGTAGAATTTAGAACGAAACAATTAACGTTGAAGTTTGTCCAGATTAAGTCTGAAAAGAGATGAAATGTGAAATAAGCTTATTGTTTTTAAAATGGAGATTATGGCAAAATTTGGAAGACAATGGAGAGGAGTAGACTTTATTGATAATGGAGGAAGAAGACTTTTAGAACAAAATTAGAACGTCAATTGCCACGTTAATTGTCATGTTGGTCCAGATTCTATCACACCATGTTTTTATTGATCAAAATATTAACGAATATTTGGTCAAATGATATTTTTGAAGTATTTATCAAAGGTCAAGCATTGTATTGAAACTTAAAAAAAAAATAGGAATTTTCTTAAAACAAAAGTCAAATTTTAGCGGTATTTTTTATTTTTTTTAGTATTTTTTCTTTTCTTTTAGGATTCCTTCTGATTGGTCAATTTCATCACGCACATGTGCTTCTTACGCGTTAGGCAATGTGGAAAGGTTGCAAGTATTTTAAAAGAAAAATGGTGGAGAGCAACAAGACATTATAACCCTACGTTCACACGAGATTTACTAATAAATTATATTTTGTGGAATTGAGTTTTGATTTCGTTGGATGTGTTGTATAGTGGATTCAATCTCTAGTCTTTATCTTCTTATTCTCTTCCGAGGAAGAAGTTGATGTGAAGATTTTGAGATGTTTATTCTTGGACTTAAATCGAAGTTTCATGTTTTTTGAAAGTCTTCAAGTTGGTTTTCAAATCTTTTAATGCTGGCTTTCTCTCTGATAGAAAATCAACCATAGGCAAATTGATTCCCTGGAAAAGCAAAAAGAAAGGGGACTTCTTCTTCCCMGCCAGAAGCAAGCATAGCTTAGGCATAGGATTCCACATCCGTATCAGAAGTGCAAAAAAAAATTATTCGCACACCCCCCTGAATTAAAAAAAAAAAAGATGAGGTTTTTGCTATGCCACCATAATTGTGTAGTTAGAGTTATCCCCTTACACTGGGAGTGCTGCTCAAGCGCAYAGGTCTGGATCTTGAATCGGATGATGAATTCTCTTCTGGAAAAGGAACTACAACCTATGCCCACTAAAACCCACCGCCCTTATACCGTGCCGAAGTCTTCATAGGGTTTTCAGTTTGATGTATGAATTTTCTCAATTTTGAAATTCTGAATACTTGAAAATGAGGGAAACTTCTCTATTTATAGAGGTTTCCATGTGTTTAGTGGGTTTTGGGCTTGGGTTATTTTAGACCAAACCCAGGAATTTGAGTATGGGCTCAATTTAACTTCAAAAAGCTTGGGATTGGGTGATTTTGGACCCAGCCTAATTTGTGAATGGATTTAGACTTGTTTAAATTTAAATATTAATCAACCATAATGGTCTTATGATAATTTGAGTTTCGGGCCTAAATACCATTCAATGGATTTGTAAACTAAATTGATTCCAAACCCAATTTTGGATAACTCAATTGACCAATTAAATTCAATCCAAATGGCCTAATCAAGGACACTTGACATTATTTGAAAATTGCCATTTTTTTCTTTAATTTAAATTTAGGGATAAATTATAATTGCCCGTGTCGCAAAGTCATCGCGACGTAGAGCGGCCGATGTCATCCCCTGAAGGGTATCTTTCGAGATAAAGGTTTGGAGTTGTCACCAATCATCTACGACGTGTGATTGGTCACCTATTTTAAAAACTTGGTCTACGAAAACAGATTTTTGATTCGGGAGTCGACTGAGCGTAGGGAGGGTGTTAGTACCATACGACATTCGTTCGAAAACGATACCACATTTTGTCAAAAATTATCCTATTATTTTATTTTGTTAAAAAAAATTAGTACTTTTATTTAAAATATCCCACATTCTATTAATTCATACTTTGTAATAAAATATGAATTAAAGATGTGAGTGGCACGAAGGTCATTAGAAAAAAATTTAACACCTCGAGAATATTGAAAGGTTCAAATATCCGTCATTGGAGTTTTGAAATAATTAATTATTAAAAAAACAATGATAAATAAAAAATAAAAGAAATAAAAAGAAATCATGTCACACATAAAGGTTAGCTGTCGCAACGTCATCGCGACGCGGAGCGGCCAACGTCATCCCCATCTCCTAAAGGGTCTCTTTCGAGATAAGGGTTTGAAATCGTCACCTCTACGAGGATTGGAATCGTCACCTATTTTAAAAACTTGGTCTGCGAAAATAGATTTTTTGTTCAGGAGTCAACTAAGCGTAGGGAAGGTGTTAGCACCCTACGACACCCGTTTGAAAACGGTACCACATTTTGTCAAAAATTATCATATTATTTTATTTGATAAAAACAAAATTAGTACTTTATTTAAAATGTCTCACATTATATTAATTCATACTTTGTAATAAAATATGAATTGATAGGTATGAGTCGCACGAAGCCCATTATAAAAAAATTTAACACCTCGATAATATTGAAAGGTTCCAATATCCATCATTGGAGTTTTGAAATAATTATTTAGTAAAAAATAATGATAAATAAAAAAATAAAAGATATAAAAAGAAATCATGTCACACATAAAGGTTCAAACTTTTATTGTGGTTATTAATATGTTCTTACCACTATGTCAAGACCTTAGAATACAACTTAATTTCTTTTTTAAAATATAAAAATGACCCGAATTTAGGACATGCAAATTTACACCCAAGAATCCTACCACTATGTCAACATCACAAGACTGCAATATAATTTCCTTTTTAAAATACAAATCTTTTATTTTTAAACTTTGTTTGAAAAAAAATGAAAAAAATATAAACGAAAAGGGAAAAGAAAAAAATATTTTATTTTATTTTGGATCTGAAATTCATTTAAAACTACCTTATTTTTTAAAAAAAAAATAATCTTAGGTATGTAATCAAACTTATTTAAAAGATCTTATTCAAAATTTTAAAACTTAAATGACAAATCTTTCAAAAATAATTTTTACTTAGTTTGAGATTTTATTAATTTAAAACAAATATTTCTTTGAATCTTTTATTTATTTCTCTAAAACTTTAACACTTGATTTAAAAAAAAAATTCCTTTTACAAAGGTAGTTTATTTTTATTTATTTAAAAAAATTAAACTTGAAAAAAAAAATAATAATATTTTCCTTCAAAAAACAAACTTTTCTTTGAATCTTTTATTTATTTTTCTAAAACTTTAACATTTTTATTTATTTAAAAAAGTTTTAAACTTAAAAAAATTATAATAAAATTTTCCTTGGTTTATTTTTATTTATTAAAAAATGACTCTTAAACCAAATTTTCAAACATAATTAAACTCTCATTAAATGATTTCTCTTCTTTTAAAAAAACCAAGAAAAAGATTTGTTTCTCTTCCTTCCAAAAAAAAATTTAACTTCATCTCATGTAACAAAATCTAATTAACCACATTTATGACTTTCCAATTTTAAAAAGTAAGGGAAATCTAAGTTTTGATTATGGAAAATAAATTTTCTTTTCCCTTTTTAATTTAAAAACAAAAAACCCACTAGAATCTTAATAACGTCAGGAGACGTGAGTATGTCGTGCGCTCAGTCAAAAAAAGTCTGCTGCTGGATCTAC